ACCTGTTTGACTCTAGTCTAACACTTCTAGAGCTACCTGTTTGACTCTAGTCTAACACTTCTAGAGCTACCTGTTTGACTCTAGTCTAACACTTCTAGAGCTACCTGTGTGACTCTAGTCTAACACTTCTAGAGCTACCTGTTTGACTCTAGTCTAACGCTTCTAGAGCTACCTGTTTAACTCTAGTCTAACACTTCTAGAGCTACCTATTTGAATCCGCTTTAATTCATCTAGTCTCTCTTAAGTTCAGTCTACAAATCTTGATCTATTGTGGTCTAAGCCGTATTTAGTCTATTTGAGTTTAATCTGTAATATATATAACACGTTTAAATATATCTATTTGAGTCCAGTATAACATATATAGATATGTCTATTTGAGTCTAGTGTGACATATATAGATATGTCTATTTGAGTCTAGTATAACATATATAGATATGTCTATTTGAGTCTAGTATAACATATATAGATATGTCTATTTGAGTCCAGTATAACATATATAGATATGTCTATTTGAGTCTAGTATAACATATATAGATATGTCTATTTGAGTCGAGTATATAATGCATCCAGTCTGTCACAGTTAGATATGTATATATGAGTCAAGTCTAACACAATTAGATATACATATTTGAGTCTAGTAAAGAATGCACCTACATATGTCTATTTGAGTCCAGCCTAATTCATCTAGACATATCTGTGCCCGGTCTGACACGTATGGGTCTTTGTGATTAAATCTGGTCTAACGTATGTTGATCTCTGTGGTTGACACGTGCATGTAAGACATTTTGATTTACCTCTTTGTGTTTTATTCAAACAAATCACGATATTCTATTCATCATCGTTATTATTTTTACACATTGATATAGTTACTAATTTGTATTGATTTTAACACACCTTGTTTGTGTCCATTTCAATGTTTGTCCATCTCGGAAAGATCTGCTTGTCGAAATAAAATTGAAAAAAAAAGTTGTATTTAGTACTTAAACAATAAAAATTAAATTACAGGTGAAAATAAGAAGAAACAAAAATCAACCCCCCAACAATTACAATATGAGAAGAAATAGGGTCCAGATAAGAAACACTGGAATATCAGGACACATCTCTAACAGCAAAAACACGACAAAAATCAGGAACACGTAGGAAAAGAAATACGAAAGAATAAACATCAGGTAAGTTTCG